AGAGAGAGAGAGAGAGAGAGAGAGAGAGAGAGAGAGAGAGAGAGAGAGAGAGAGAGAGAGAGTTACGTACCTTGCATTCGAATACAAGGTATCTTGTATTTGAATACAAGGTACGTACCTTGTATTCGAATACAAGGTACGTACCTTGTATTCAAGGGTACCTTCATTCGAAAATTTAACAGCGATTTCTAAGAACCCGTTTTCAGAGGTAACTTGAATACAAGGTACGTACCTTGTTTTCGGGTTAAGACAGTAGTAGCCTCCCACTGGTCGCTCCCATCTATTGACAGGGAGCAGTTTCTGCTGGAAACCGGGATCCAGCATCCCAGAACATCAAAGATTAGGGGGTCCATTACCCGACTTCAGCTAGAACGGACATATTGAATATGGTTTAACAGAACCTTATGGTTCTGGCTCCTGTCCATTCTGGGGAGCGTCAGTCCGGTTCCTATTCCATAGTAAGTCATAAGGAAATACAATAAAAGTCACTCATTCTCTCTCTCTCTCTCTCTCTCTCTCTCTCTCTCTCTCTCTCTCTCTCTCTCTCTCTCTCTCTCTCTCTCAAAGAGGCAATAAATACTGTCTTTGCAAGTCTTCTGAATTCTGTCAAAGGGAAGGACAAAGGAATTGAGATAGACCAATGTTGCATATGGACAGCTGCTTCGGTATGAGAGCCGCCGAGGTGGCTATAGCCACCCATCTCTTCCACCTTCAAGGAAGTTGAGGCCCCTTCCCATGCGAAGACTCTCATGTACCGTCACCTCTAGCAGTTTTTCCAGGTTTTCCCCAACCCTAGTAGTCAATTCTCGCCTACAGTAGTTGCCTCCATTTACCTCCAAGCTGTTGCTTCAAGCCTCCGTTTACCTCCATGCTGTAGTCAATTCTCTTGTGACCAGGTGCTCTTGAGATGGAACCGCTCAGCTCAAATCTTGAAAAGTACTAGGTGCATGCCGCTGTTGATAAACAGGCTACAGGTTCTTTAAGCTGAGGAGTTAAGATCCATCCTTTGGGAACACCGCTTCATGCACTGCTGATGAATTTCAGATCCTGATGACAGATATGGCACTTTGTTGCCCATCGTTTTCCCTGCAGGCCTTTGAGAACACCGCTTCCCTCCAGTTTTACTGCTGGCAGTGTTTTTTTCTCTGCCCCTCGGGCTCGACGATCCGTTTGCTATCCTGCGGTGGATGGCTGTGCATCCCCTCATGTCACCGGCGTTTTCCTCCTTTGTTTTCCTATGCTGATATGCTTAAATGCAGTCAACGGTGGGCGATGGCGGAAACGATGACCTGAATGAATGTCGCAAATCGCCGGAATGAATGTCCCAGCGTTGCATTGATAACTCGCTGAATGTCCTCCTGTCACCGTAAAGAGCTCCTTGTTTGCTGTTCAAACGAACAAGGTAGGTGTGCATCGTGTGCCGCCTCCCCATATGGCGAAGAAGCAAAAAGCATTTGCGCCTCCACTTACAATGTCCCAGCGTGGCATTGATTACCACCAAATATGAAAGAAGAGTCACATGCAATGTGTATATGGAGGGGGAGAGGATTCTGAGAATTTCTGACCCTTAGGGAAAGTGCTCACGAAGAAGGGAGTAGAGAGTGACAGACAGACTTGCTGACTGGCAGAGAAACAGATAACATCTTGAATAGGAGAGAGTGACACAGAGAGAGTCAGACACGAGAGTGACACAGAGAGAGTCAAACACAAATATTTTGAATAGAGGAAAGTGGCTGGAAGAGAGAAAAAGGGACCGGAGGGGGGAGGGAGGGAAACATTTTGCGGTTGCTCGTTGCATCGTTAATGAAGTGATAGTACTGTGATACGGAACTCTATCTAAAATCTATGCGTATCATGAAGAGCTTCAAGGCACATAACCGCTCAGAATTTACGGGCACAAGCTGAGTGCCATGTGATAAGTAATCAAAAAATAAGGAGGATATAACAAAATAAATAGTACAAAAAAGGGACTCTGTTGTTTTTATATAACAAAACGCAAGGAATGTGAGCGAGAGCGATGGACAGAAATCCAAATTGCAAAATCACAAAGTAGCCCAGATAGTCATGTACCAACCAGAGAGCACAATCGCCTTGCAGTTGAAGACCAGTGTACGTGACCTCATCACCAGTGACGACCGCCAGCATACACCGGGTGCATTCCCTCTCTCCTCCCATCATCACACCTTGACTCCCCTCTGTATCCTCCTCCTATCTGAAGACCATCATCGCGATCACTTGCTACCCACACGCGCAGGCCGGCTATGGCCGCCGCCGTGTGCCCGCTGCCACCGCAGCGCCCTCTCACCTCTTGCACCTCCGCGTACCCTGGCCTGCCTGCTGAGCGCAGTATCGCAAGGCGTAGCAGCAGCGTGGCCGCGTTGCCTGCTCAGGCCAGAATGCCGTGCCCAGGGGCGCACACTTTCCTTTATGGAAAGTCCGCCCCACCGCTGGCTGGTCTGGCCAGGCGTGTAGAGGCCCGGTACCTTCCGGCTGGCCCCAAGTGTCTGTGCCCAGGCCCAGTCTCAGATACTGGCCTGAGCCTC